TTCAGTGTCCAGGGATGAGGCTCAGAGAAGGGGATGAGGGCTCACTGACAGGGAGGATGGTTCAGTGTCTGGGGATACTGGAGGTTCAATGCTGGAAATAGGGAGCTCAGGCTTGAGGATTGAGGCTTAGTGTCAGGGTGGGGACTCAGTGCCAGAAAACGAGGCTCTGGTGTCAAGGATTTCATTAAATTCTACAGGCATTTATTAAACCCCTACTGTGTACCAAACCCTATCCTAGGCACTGGGGAGCCAAGACAGAAAGGAAAGATTCCCTGCCCTCAAGGAGCTTATATTCTCCTGGGTAGACATGACCTGTACACAGCTAAGTAAACCCCAGGTCATTTTGTCAAGGAGGGCAAGGGAGACACTAATAGCACTACCAGGACAGGCCTCGTGCAGGGAGAGGGAAGCCCCTGAGCTGAGGCTCTAATGGAACCAGGGGTCCTTAGGGGCAGCAGGGAAGAGAGGGGACCAACCGAAGCAAAGGAACAGGACCTCTGCACGGGGACAGAAAATCCACCGATTTGACCAGAATGTAGAGGGTGAGGAGCAGGAATGTGCGAAACTAAGCCAGAAATCGAAGCTGAGGACAGCGCGCCTGGCAGACAGAATCTGTCCTTTACTGGGGGCTTCCTGAGCAGGGAGTGATGTGGTCTGATCTGTGCTTTAGGAACATCTTGGGCAGCTGTGTGGAGGCTGGATTAGAGGGAGGAGGCTTAAGGAAGGGAGACAGATAAGAAGAGATTGCAGCCATTAATACTGCACAATTAGATGGGGCCTCAGTGCCGTGTGTGGGGAGAGAGTGCCCGGGATGAGGGCTCAGTGTCATATATGAGGCTCCGCTGCCGGAGATGGAGACTTGACTGTCAGGGATGGGGGCTTGGGGTTATATGGTGGGGACAAAGATGGGGGCTGCATTCAGGGCACTGATGAGGTCTCAGAGACAGGGACTTGGGGATTCATTGGGTCAGGGAGAAGAGGATCGGTGCTCGGAAGAGGCATTCCAACGTTAGGGGTGAGGATTCCATTTTAGGGAGGGACTTTGTACTGGGATGGAGATAGAGGTGCAGCCCAAGGATTGGTGACTCGGTGCTAGGGATCAGCACTGGCTCGGGTTCAGTGTCAGGGATGGGAGCTCAACGCTCTCGATTCAGCATCAACAGCAGAAATGGAGGTGTGGGGCAGGACGGATTGCCAAGTGTCCGGGAAAAGTCCTGGAAGGCTCATGTATCCAGGCCTGTTCAGGCTTTGAGATCCTTTTACTTAATCCTGGCCTGGAATGAGAGGTGGGGGCTGGTCTGACCCTGGGATACCACAGCACCTTGCGAGGAAGGATAGAAGAGAAAGGGACAAGAGAATGAGTGAATCTTATTCTCATCAGATTTGGCTTAAGGAGGGAATAACATACACACTCAATCGGGAATGGAAATCTATCTTACCCTACAGGAAAATAGGAGAGAAGGGGACAAGAGAGCAGGGAGATGATAGCGGGGAGGGCAGACTGGGGGAGGGGGTAATCAGAAGCAAACACTTCTGAGGAGGGACAGAGTCAAAAGAGAGAATAGAAGAGAAAGGATAAGGCTGACCAGAAGTTCAGGTCAGAGCCTCAGGAGCAAAGTTAGGACCATGGTTCCTGGCAGCTTGAAGGAGTGGGATTCAGGTGCCATTTGTCTCTGCTTCCCCACCTTGGGGGCTTAGTCAGCTCTGGGTGAGGAGGGCAGGGGTGATTGAGTCTGGGCCAATTTCGTCCCATTGTCTACAAAGAATTGATAGACATAAACA